AACCCTGGTTTAGACCCGGGTATATTAGAGGGGGGTCTACTATCAAGGGGGGTCTTTTATATGGCCATTTACGGTAGCTAATTTATTCCCCGGTTCTCTCTTATTGCCCAGATCTCAAATCCAGCTGATCTGATTATACTGACAGTGTTAAATTAGTGGTCGATTAAAAGGCGATTTTGATATTTTTACACCCTTTGATCACGAGCATAATACATGTGTATTATAGTTGCAGCAAAAATGAAGTGTCATATTACATTACTCAATTTTTAAACCAGAGTATTTGAATCACACATCGCAATATCTTAATAATTTCATAACAATAATAAAGGTGTGGAAATACCAAAATCGGGTGTCCCTATATAAATATAATATAAAATATAATATATACAATATATATATTACATATATAATAAATTATAAATATACTATTTGACCAATTTGGCTAGTACAGATCCTTTGACTAGACTGGTCAAATTGGTCAAAGTGGTCTGATCAAGCCAACACTGATTATACTGTTTTACTTTTTTTTAATGATACAGTACATTCGAATTTTTTAACTTATTAAGTAAAATGACAAAGAAATGTAAAAGTTGTTAACCAAAGAAAAAAGAAAGTGAAAAAAAATGAAAGGTATCTTGTGATTGTAGTAAAGCCTTAAGATTGTGATACTATTTTGTATATTATAACCAAGAATTTACTTATATAGCCTTCTTATAACAAAGCTTTCTGTAATACTATTATCATATATAGTATCAACTTTCTACAATAAATCTTTTTTTTAAAATTTTTATTTTAGGCTTGTTTTACTTAAACTTCTTATAGTAAGTATATATATTTCAAATATTTTTAAAAATTACTTCTAGTAGAAAAGTTGGTTTTTTATACTAAGCTATAAAATCTTATATATTATAATAGCGCTTTGCAAAAAGATGTGACCCCATGATTTTTGTGATGAACAAGGAAAATTTCCGAGATTCTAAATTGTCTATTAATTCATATTTTCGATCAGTTATATTTATATTTATTTGAAATTGTTAAGATTCTTAAAATCTACAGAATCTCTGATTTTCACACGACATAGTATATTATTATCATTTTTACTAAAACGCACCTATGGTGTTTTACCACCTATGTTGTGTTACTGTATCTTAAAAACTGGCTAACTAATTAATATGCGATACTCTAAGTAAAAAATGCTCTACATCCCCCAAAACCCATCCTAAACCTTAATTCTATCACTAAAAATTTATATAAAAAACTTATAAATCTTAGAAAAATATATAAAACCATATAATAGTGCAAAACTACCATAGGTGCGTTTTATAATAAGAGATTAGAATTATTTAATTGCATAAAAAATTTTATAATACCATGCCAAATTATAAGCCAGAACAATTTTAATTAAACAGTTAATACAGTTAAATAATTAAATAGTTCCAATTCCTATATCTTAAAAAAAAATTTTTATTAATTGTCAAAAATTGGTAGATACAATAATTTAGATAGAATATACTAGCTTGGTTACTATTATAAATATGAAATTAGAAAAACTCCACAAAGCATCTTTAAACAAAAAGTAATAAATACATCTTTTAAAAATTATAAGCCTTTTGAGGCTTCATAATAATATAAAAAATTATTAACATTAAAAAAAAAAAATTATATAAAAAATTATATAAGAGATATGAAATTCCTCTTATAACTTCACTATTGAGTCAACAAATATCATTTAATAAAAATCCTCTTAAGTTCTTTACTAATTTTAAATCAACAACGTCACGCCTCAGGTGAATTGCCTTATCATATAAAGTCTATATTTCGTGTATAAATTATTGATCGTGCTAATCATTCCGTAACACTCCGTAACAATATACAATAAAACTAGAAAAACAGACACTGTTAAATGTCCGGAACTAGAAATTTATTTGACTATTAGCTAAAAATAGAAAAATGCAGATGCAAAAGAACTACTACTAAAAGTCAAACGAAATGATAAAAAAATTTAGCAAACATTTGTCAAGTACTTTGCATTATGATACGTAATAAAATTACATATATTATAACAACCTTTTTCAATAAAACATTAATTACGTCTAGTAATATAACTATATATATATATATGCATATTAAATATATATTAAACATTAAGTGTCTGCTTACTTCTATCATTAAATTTTTTATAAGTTCAAAAATAAAAAAACATTTTTTTATCATATAGCAAAAAACTGTTCTGGTACTTCTATTTGCTTTCTTGATGGAATCTTTTCGTTCAGCCATTGTTTCCATTCTCTCCAAAGAGTTGCATTCGAAAATATACAAAACAAATGTATTCCAATAAAACTTGTTGACATCTCTGCGCCAATTATTAACCAGAAAGGTGGCATATAGTTTGATGCAATTCCAGAACATGCATTTTGACCTTTGCCTTGTTGAATACATAATAACCATTCAGAAAGAAAATCAGTTCTGGTTGGACCATTTGATATGTTACCTAACTGGAAGAAATAAAAGATCCAATAAAATATCACTGTCATGACGAACAATAAAGCTAATAAAAGTGCCCGCCATTGAATTTTTAGAACTTGAATGACGTGTCGTTTGTGAGATGATCTGAATTCTTCAGTGGATGAAGTTTCATCAGATTTTTTCTTCTCTTCTTCTCTAGAAATCTTTTTTTTTTTAAAAAAAAAAAATAAAAAATAAATTTAAAATACGTATAATGGTATAATAATTATGTGTAGAAATGATAATAATACCTTTACAATGTAAAAAAACGTAGCTATATGAATAAGGAAACTAGGGACCACAATTGAAGCTAATGGATAAAAGAATATAAAATTTGCTTTTGATTGTTGAACTAAACATAAAGTTGCAAATTGATACATAATCGATCTCGCAGCTAATGCAATTATTGTAAGAATTATAGGAACCCCCCATCCAATCAGGTGAAGATACAAATAATTATTTCCAATTATGTTGGAATTCCAGACAGTATGAATGTGAAGATTTACGATTATTATTCCTACCCAAAACGTAGCAGCATATGAAGCGAAAATTAGCCAGGCACCTGATAAATAAAAATAAATAAATAAATAAATAAAATAAATATTAGTAAAATTAATAATAATAATTTTTTTTTTTTTTTTATATGTAATAATAATATTTTTATTATTATGATACCTTGAAAACTACATAATGCATTATTATCTTGAGTACTAGGTTCTACATCGTTCGTGCATTGAATCGCGTTTGGATTTCCAAGAGAGAAAAATACGCTTGAAGAATATAGGAAAATTGCTATTGATGCAAACAATATTAGACTACTCGGATGGGATCTTTTTCCGGGTAATACCAAATAAGATATAACCATTATGAACGAAGTAATAGCAGATATGGCTCTAACGATTTGTGTTGCAAGGAAACCTTTTTCCAAATATCCTTCAGGATACAAGAAATAAGATTGAGGGCAAGGAAGACAACATCCGTTTGAACAATATGTGGTACTTATTGACTTCGATTTGTCAAAAGAGTTTACAAAGTCTTCTACTAGTGGTGGGAAACACGTAGCAGATGAAGATAATTTTGATTCCAAGTTGCATTGATCAGATTTGATAGTTAAATTTGTCGTGGTAGTGGAGATGTATCCTGCCGAACAGCTTGCATTCGTTGGAAATAGTGGTGAACTTATTATATAATTTAGGACTATCGGATCTGTCAAATAGGTACACGAACTTATAGCATTTGTACATGTTGATGTACATATTGGTTGTAATTCTTCTTGACCTATAAAAAATAAAAATAAATTATTTTTCTAATTATAATAAATTTTTTGTATATAGTCAGACATCCTTAAGTGCAACTCATTGGGATAAAACTTTTGATAGCATGTAAAATAGCATTTATGGGGGTCAGATATATATTTGGGCCAGAGCTTGAGGTTGCATTTAGAGAGGTTTAGAATTTAGAGAGGTTTAAAATTTAGAGAGGTTTAGAATTTAGAAAGGTTTAGTTGCATTTAAGGAGGTCCGACTGTATTCAATTTATTACTAGAGTTCCACCTTTTACACATTTTGGGTACGTTATAGCGCATGCATAACTCGAAAATGCGTCAACGCATCGTTGAGTCTGTTCATTTAATTTCAATGTAGAAAGACCTTGAGCTACCTTAAGAAGGCTCAATGAATGATCCGTATTCGACCCATCAAAATATATATAATCTGAATTTGTTATATAATTCTTGCAAAATAATATAATACTATATATATTAGATATACATTCAGATTTAAGATGATGAAAATTATTGAAATTTTGATGTTAATGCTTACGGAACAAACAACTGTTTTATTTTTAAAACCTAAATAGCATTGGCCGGCTCCTTCGGTTCCTTGAACAAGACTCGATCCTATTAGTATTAAAGCTACCAAGCAGTATCGTAAAAACTTCATGTTAGTTGAAATTTATTGGGTTTTCCTATTTCATGACAATTTATTTGTTTATTCTTTCACAAATGAGAGAGTGCACATAAAGTACATAAAAAAAACCAACAGTCAAAATAGGTAATAAGTATGTCTATTAAAACTTTAAAAGAACGCAAAAATAAACTTCCTACACACCTGTTTTTTTTTTCTGTATGTCGACTGTGATTGAATTTTTAAAGTTTCTCTGTTTTTTGAATAAAAACGAACGTTTAAAAATATGAATCTAGTAATTTCTTTTTATTTTATTTTATTTTATTTTTAAAAAAAAAGAATATATGATTTTCGCGACGGCTGATCTACATCCGTAAATGAAAGCAACGATAGCATGAAAGTCAAGTGCTTCGTAAATACTACTATTGAATTTATTATAAATGCAAATATTGATAAACTGAAGATCTTTACAGCATGTTCTAAATTTCATTCTACTTTATTAGTTAGCTTTTTTTAATACGTATTAGAATATTTGTATTAAGTTTATATTAAATAAGTCTAACTCGAAAAAAGTTATAATTAATTTAATAAAACGCATTCTCAATTGAATATGTAAAATTTACTATAATTTTTTTTAATTAAATTTAAATTCACTATAATTTTTTAAAAAACTATATTTTATTATTAGAGTTGGTCAACCAAAAATTCGTTAGTCAAACTGGTCTGGTCAAATTAGTCAAATGGCCTACGTAGCTATTAAATAAATAAATTTAGTATACAAAATATATATATAAATAAATATATATATAAATATATATAAATATATATCTTTTGCAAATTTGGACGATAATGGATACTTTATATGAATCTCTAATTTCGTGTATTTACTATGTTTTATTCCCGGCATTTTTATTTATTACCTCCAAGATATCATGGTTTGTACATGTCGTAGGATTATTTCGTCCTAAAGCTAAAATTTATGCCGCAACTAATGGTTACTAATGGTTAATGCCTAAAATCAAAATTAATGGTATAAGTGTCGAAAGTAATAAAATGTAATTCTGATTGATGTAGTGATGTTAAGTGATGTAATAAAATAAAAGTATATATTTTATTTAAATAACCGATTTAAATTTGCAAGTAGAGTTCCAATCCGGATATTTGATAGCTATCCGGATAAATGCTTAATGGATTGGAGCTCTACTTGCATGTTACGTCATCTAAAAATACAACTGAAATTGTATCCATTTACAAAATGCGAATATGGTAAATCTTGGGTATGTGGGAAAGATTTAGAAAGTTTGAGCATTACTAAAGCGGAAACCTGTTAATTTCGATTTTTGTCGGCTCCGTTTTCTGATCCGACTCCTGGTTAAATTATGACGACGTGTTAAATCGGGGTTTGATCTGTAAAATTAATTTCGGAAAACTCACAATTACAGGTTTTCGTTTTGCTGCACTCATATACATATTATATATATATTATATTATAGCGATAGTATAATTAAATAATTGTCACGTATAAATTACATAACAGATAACTATAACTATACACACTATATAATATACTACCGGTATTAGATTTCGGCTTTTGTTTCTGATTTTGCGGCATATAAATTATGGCTTGTGGCTTTATTCTACCGAAAAATCGGTGCCTAAATACTTTCGGCACAACCTCAACTAATTTTCTACATGTATAGTTACGGAAGCGAATAAATATACGGAGATCATTAACCAACTAACTACTAAATTAAAGGTAAAAGTCTAACCTTTAAACCCTCGAGCTCTTATTAAATAATTAAGATATTAAAGCTTTATTTTAAATTAGTCGTTTCATGTGGTTATCTGTTCGACAAACTCTTGTTATTTTTTTTACATATGTTAAATAGAGTTTGATAGTTAATATTACACTACATGAAATTTTATTATTAACATTTTAAAATCTAGCCAATATAATTTATATTTGCTATTATCCATGAGTGTTTCGAATAATGGTCCGAATTAAACTTAATTTAGACCAAAATTTAAGCTTACACACATAAGCGTCATTTTACGACAAATACGGTACGTAGTATCTGGTTGTCTATACATAATAAAGAAATTTATATATGAATCTAGAAACTTTGATCTTCAACGCGTCTGTCTGTGGCGCAGTTCTTTTATTTGGTCTACACAGGGCTAAACGACATAGTAAACACCGGCCATTCAATAAGTATTGTTTTTGATTCATATTATATTAAAATTTTATTACTCGTAAATTTAATTTGATGTATCAAAAACGACACTTCAAGCAATGGGCAGCGGCGCAGTAAATGGCTGCCGTATACTATTACTATGAGTCGTTTTAGTCCTGGTTCTACATCATGTTCGAGAGGAATCTAACTTATGCATCCGGAGACAAACAATAATATATTATAAGTTCGAATTCTTTATAATGACATATGCTATTTCAATTAAACAATTTAGAGATATCAGATAAAACGTCAAAAATCTCTTTTTTTTTTCATAAATGAGTGATGACAAGGGAAACGGGTCATTGGTATATCATTTATTGTTTAATAAATTATCAATGATGAACCAATGCCCCCATTTTCCATTGTCGTCATTTGTAATATAAAGACTATTTTAAGTGCCATATTGAATATTTCTTATTGCATATATTATTAAAAAAACCAACAGATTAGTGATGGGTTTTAGATTCTGCATATTGGCAAAAAAAAAAAAAATTTCAATATTTAATACAACCATCCTAATCAAGATACTAAATTCTAACCCTAAAGAGCTGTTAAATGATTTTATAATCAACCATAAAGAGCTTATTTAATCATTTGATTTTCATGCTACATCGATGATTAGCTAAAATTTTGCAAAAGAATTTGAGAAACATAGATTATTCACCATTATCCTGCAGAGTATGGAAAATTATACATTTAATTCCCCGATCACTATATCAAGATCACGGGAGGATTAATTAATAATACCCCGTATGTGAATAAGCGGAAACTTCGTCGCTAATTCTCAACAGATCAGGATATTATTATTACTTAAATAATTTATTAGCAGTTATAAAACATGTTCTAATAATGTTGTGCTTTACTATTCCTTTAGAATCTCAATAAATATTGGTAATCAAAGAGAGTATCTTAATGATCAAAACCAACTATACAGTATAATTATAGAGATGGATCTATTTTATTAAATAAACTAGTAATTAAAAGTTATTTATGTTATACAATACTGTATTTTTGATAGTAATTTCAAAATGCTACGTATAAACAACACATATATACAGTATATATATATATTTGTATAAAAAATATACAAAATAAAATTTTATTATTTATTTTATATTGGTAAATTAAAAACTAAGCAACTTCTAGCATTCTTTAAATGTTCAAACATTCTTGCTAATTATAAAATATCGCATGATATAAAATCTTTGCCACTAGAGCAAATTTCATTTTTATTATACAAATTCAATGAGCAAATATATAATTCATGGTGTATTTCAGTATTCAGTTTAACTAAGATAAATTTGAAAAAAAAAAAAAATCATATAAATTAATTATCATCCTTCTTTTTTTTTTTCTTCTTAATAAATGCAAGATGCATATATGTTATCATCGCATCACAATCAACTGAAATCACCCTCTCAGTATTACTATCAATTTTATGAAAAGTTTTAACATGGTGCCTAATCTTTTTAAGAGCGCATGGAGTAATTGAAGTGCAAAGAAGACACCCAAAAATTGGGACGCATCCGAATCCAAGTTCTATCGCTCCTTTTGTGTCAAGTAAATAGGGTGGTGGGGATTCATTACTTGCGCGAAGTTGTTCTGCCTCTCTTTTGAGAGTTGGTATAAGTGTATCTTCGAAAAATTCTTTGGAATAATCTGATCCATTATTAACTATAGGTGGATTTATGAAGCTTGGACAAATAGACAAATACACATATAGCGGGTCCCGAATGCTTATTAGAGATTCTTCTGACTTCTGAACGGTACCATATGTTAATCTCCTTAGGCGTTTGATAATTCTAGTTCGTCTTTTATTTGGATCCAATGATTCTTGAAATTTAGACTTTTTAGCAGATCCTTGTTGAATGTTTGATGAAGTCGGTGTATTATCAAACTTTCGTTTAGTGGTACCATTAGATGTTGTGATTAAGGGATCTTCTTGGATAGTAATTTCATCACAAGAAATTTTTTGCACAATTTGTAAAATTTTTCTCTTATAAGTTTGCCAATCATGTGGCAAAAAAGGATTTGTTTGTATTTTTAGTGCCAAATTTTGGTAACCTTTATCATTTTGTAGTTTAAATGAAGTTTCACAATCGAGATTACGATCGATTTCTGTAAGCAATCTTTCAAAAAGTATTCCTTGATCTTTAACATGAGATTGATATAATTTATTTGTCCATTCATGATAATGTTGAGCTTCTTGAGAAATAATCTCAATATTTCCTCTCAGGTCATTCAATGCAGATCGAGTATCATCATCAGCATTCATAAAAAACGCGATAGTGTTTTTGACATGACTGATCCAATAATATTTTGATTCACTTTGAATATCAGGTAAATATATATCTGGGACAATGGGTGCAATAAGTCCGAGAATTTCGTTATCAAGATTAAAAGTGTCACGAAATACATTAAAACTAATAAATGAAAATATTATTAGAAAAATTTTTAAATGAAAATAAATTATTATTAAGCAATAATATTATATATATATATATATCAAATTAAATTACCTAAATGCTCTTTGAAGCATACAATCTCTACAAGAACGTACACAAGGAATCCAATATGTAATAGGTGTCTTTTCTTTAGTCTTACAGAATTGGCAGCCATTTTGAAATGTTAATAACCTTGCGAAAGTTTGTTGACTCATCCTTGCTGGAGGATCTTTGTCTTTAAAAATAGTAAACTGATTTCTAGAATTACACCATATTTCTTCAGCCAACGGATTAATATTCTCATCCAGCATATTTTTGAAATCTTTACATACACATGCTAAAGCAAGAAGATCTGATG